AAAAAAAAAAAAGGCACTGTCGCGATGGCATTTGACGTTTCCCCCCCCCCCGGGATCCATCGTTTCTCAATTTACACGTCGCAGTCATCCTTGCACGCGCAGGGGACAAAAAATAAAAATATAAATAAAAATAAAAATATATATATACAGGGGCCATGCATGCTAATTAATTTGCCCTTCTCTCTCTGTATATATTGTTCCAATTTCACGGACATCCCAAAAACAAAACAAAAACAAAATCACGGACACCCCGAAGGACAGGTCCTTCTTTCCACTGGCCCAGCGGCCCCGGCCCATTTGCAGGGCCCCTGTACCTCTGCCTGATCCCCACCAGACTGTCGTTTTTATCCAGTACCTCCGCAGTGTTGGGAAATTAGGGAAAACAGGCTGTTCACAAAGAGTTCCGCGGCGGACCCGAGGACGGCTGCCATTGATAAATCTCAATCTCATCGTCGCCCGTCGTTTCCTTTCGTTTTGTTTCGGCCTCCTAACAGGTCGGAAGCCCACCCGAGGCTTGCTATTTTCCCACTCGGCAAAGGTACTAATGGTTTAAGCCCTAAACCCTAAACCCTCCACCATCCCTCTGAGTCATCAATTCCATACAGTCTGTGTTTCCCATTGGTGTCTGAGACTGTCCCCGTTTCCATTCCTAGATTCGAGCTTCGGCTGCCCGCGGAGCTGCCCAATATTCTAGTGTTCCTTTCCCTTTTTCAGAACGCAGTACCCAAAATTTCATCAAATTTTGGCCACAGTTTGGATTGTCAATTTTTTTTAAAAAATAACATATGTCCGATACTTTGACCAAATCGGTGTTACGACAGCCCGGCATGTTTGACCACCGGTAAATCCATCAACAATTATTTCCAGTTGTGGCCTTGGATTTACAGGTGGTCAAACACACACAGGCTTTTTTTTTTTTTTTTTTTTTTTTTCCCCGAGCCTATTTTCGACGTGGTACTGGCCAGTACCCGAACTTTTAGGAGGCCGGGCCCGACAACGGCTGCCGTTCATAAATCTGATCGGCGGCCGTCGTTTCGTTTCGGCCTCCTGCAAGGTCGGAGGCCGAGTATTTTTGAACCGTCAAAGGTACTGGTGGTTTAAGGGCCCAGTGCCCAAGCCTTGTATTGATATTTGAGAACATTGAGGCCGGGGTCCTCACAGTCTAGTCGGAGTAACCAACATATGATGATGAGGATGAGGATGATGATGATAAAACTGATGATTTTCTGCTAATCAGAATGATCATGATGTCTGACAAGTCGCACTCTAAGTACTTGCCAATAAGGAAAAGTGATCAGGAAGGCTAATCAGAATGTTCTCTACTCAGAACTTCAACATGAAACCCTATCCTAATTCCAGGTATTTCTACCAAACGAATTCCAGAAATACTCATGTGATGCAGCTGTGCTGTGTACCAATCCCACCTCTACCCAGTCTCACACCCTCTAATTAGCTAAGTTACAGGGCGGGCAGCGCTCCCCGCCCCAGCTCCGATTATCGTCGGCATGATTGTTACCGTCGGTCAAATTAGTGGACTGCCTTCCTCCCTCGGCAATCCCCATATCTCTCTACAAGACCTCAAGCTCCAAGTAGTTTAGGTTACAGGGCGCTGCCCCAGCATCGGTCAGCGTCATGATTCTGGAATCAACTCGACCCAGGCAAGTGCACATTCACGACTCAATCTGACAATCAGCAAAATTGATAATAATAATACCTAAAAATAAAGGATTTGATTTAGTTGGTAATACCTAAAAATAAAGGATTTGATTTACTAGTTGAGTCCCCAGCAGACGACGTATCTGCTGTCAGATGGATTTTTCCCGACCAAACTGGTAAATCCATCAACAATTATTTCCAAAGCCGGGCTGTTGTAACAGCGATTTTGTCAAAACGGACATTCAGAGAGAAGTTTTGCCGATACTTTGCCACGAGTGGTTGCGATATTGCCGGGCTGTTACAACAGCCAAGGCAATAGAGCAACCAGTCCTGGCAAAGTATCAGAAAAGTCCATTTCTGAATGTGGCCCACTGAAAACTACTTTCAAATTTAGTGGTATCTTTTGTTTATGAAAAATCATGAAGACCACCAACCTTCGACCCGGCCTGAACGAGACGAGCCCAACGGCCCGGCGTTCGCCCCCCCTCCGCCTGACGTTCGGCCGAACGCCAGGTTTTTTTTGGTTTTTTTTTTTTTTTTTTTTTTTCCCCGATGATGGTTGTATTGAGGGAGGGGGTTGTCACTTCCCTGTCCTAATTAAAACAACAACAACAACAACGACAACAACAACAACAACAACAACAACAACAACAACAACAACAACAACAACAACAATATTGATTGATTGATTGATCCAATCGATTTGAACAAATAGGAGTTATCTGATCGGTGTCTCTCTCTCTCTCTCTCTCTCTCTCTCTCTCTCTCTCTCTCTCTCTCTCTCTCTCTCTCTCTCTCTCTCTCTCTCTGAGTCTCTCTCCACAACAACA